ATTAAAATTCTAATTTTCCAAAAATCAACCTCACTGGTACTCGGTGGCAACTGATTGACAGAGGCTCTAGAAAACAACCACTGGCAAAAAATCTATTTAAAACATAGAACCTAATTTTTACAAACTAATGATGGGCAGCAGTATGCCAGTGCAAGGGTATGAATCTTCCAAGTAATGCTTGCCAGCTGAGGCATTCTGAGAAATTTTATATAGAGGTTAGGGGGAGCACACAGTCAACCTGTTTGTAAGTGGTGGCGCTGAAAATGCAGACACTTTAATTAAAGGAGACATTCCATCTTAGTCATGTGTACTAAGATGGAATGTCTCCTTTCAGTAAAATGTGTTTTATTACCATGTGAAACACTGCTGGTCCATTCCCCGTCAAACCGACCGATTCCAAGGACATATAATTTTTTATCTGTGGCGCGCATAAATCCTCTAAAAAATAATATAATTAACAGTTGTTGAAAAAAAGAAAACTCATAAGAAACGTATTTTTTTCTATTCCAATCCTCAAAACGTGAAATATGTGGTAAGCCTACATTTTATATTATATTAATTTCTTATTTCTATGTTAACAATCTACTGTGCTTGCAGCTATCGGCATGTTCAAAGAGTATACAAGGCATGAAAGTTTGTATTGTTATAGTTTAGTAAATATATTAACAGAATAAATAATTATGTAAATATTTTACAAACTGCTTTGATTTTATTATTATTAATCAAATAAATTACTTTTATAGCTATTGCTCTATTTTGTTTAAAAACATCTACACAATGTGCCGATGCGTCACATCGCAAAGTTTTTTTGGAGATTTATACGACATTGAAGATCAAGTCTTGAAAAGAAAAAAATCTTGACATTCAAATGACCATTGAAATACTTGTTATATCTCTTGCACTAGTAGTTCAAATGTGCAGACATTCAATACACAAAATTACATATATATAAAACAAATGCTGGTAGTCAAGTTCTTGCCAAAACTCACACAAAAATAAAATAGAGCATAATTATATATTTCTTTATCTATTTTTTTTAAATAACCTTAATTGAATCACACATTTTCAACCGAACCCGTAGAACCGCGGCAAATATCCCTGTTTTTTTAACTCGGTTAAAAATATCGACTTGTGTTCAATGTCTTCTCAAATTATTGAACTAGATACCTATTTCATTAAAATAACTGTGGACGTGCACGTGCATCTTCAATGTCACGCTGTCTATCAGTCCGTGCAGTCAGTAAAATACCACTGTAACATTTTCTTGGACGCAGTTCAGATTTTAAGTCGATTTATTGAACTAATTACCTAAATTATAGGGATTTTCATTAGGATGGGAACATTGAGACAACTCGCGCATAAAAAATAACTGGGTCCAGTTTGAAACTTGACGGCGTCGTTGCTATGGGGACTATGAGAAATACATTTAAATATTAAAAATAATTATGTTAATTATATTTTACTGCAACTTTTCTCGTTTTACATGGCATGTAATTTTTAAAGGTGTACGATAAAACTATACCTATGGGTAAGTCCGCCCTTTGTATTCTTTTGTTTCAAAGAATGTAATAAAGAATAAATAAATTAATGAACTAAAAAATTAATATAAGTAAAATAAAATTAATTTAATTCGGCTCGTAAAGCAAATGCGCTTGGAAATTTACAGGCTATGGGACATTTCATGTTAGTACTTATGGATGATAACACAACAATGGCATTCTTTGTTAGGTACAATGCAACATTTTATATTATATTAGAAAAATATAACATATACCTGAAAAATTAAATTAATTAAGCTACAAATAATGTTAACGCAAAATAACAGAATAACAGATGTAACAGTCAAGTAATCAATTTTACAAATGTTCATAAGCTTAAATTCAAAGTTACTTTTGATGAGAGCGATCAGACGACTCAAAGCCATGTTCGACATTGACTCATTAGGATATTGTAACAGAATACTGGCGATTGCCTGTTGAAATTGACTTAGAAAATAATTTTTTTATCTGTAGTAAGCCGCGGATTTAATGCCTTAGGTAGGGCATTAAATCCGCCATATGTACTATTTTTTGAGCACAAATGTTCAAATAAATAAAAAAATATACAAAATTATGTGAGCTTTAATAAATAATTTATTGTACATATAATTAACTATCATCAATTTTATTACTCTGTATGTGATATATTAATTTTTAAGCAGAAAAGAGTTATTATTTTCCTAAAATGTATTTAATTTCACCGTTTTACAACTATCGTATACATCATTAAATTATAATCAACAGAAAAAAATTAAGGGCTTACGGTGCTGAGTAAGCAGTGCCGTTTTATCTATCTTATATTATTATGTGAAATCAGTAATTTAATTTAATTTAATTTTACAAAGTTATTCGCTTTATCTCTTACATATATAAATAAAACTAAGTAGAGATCGTGTAATTTAAAACTGTACGCGATTCCTTTGTGTTTTGGGTAGATTTCTTAATGTTATAGTGTTAAAATATGGTAAAAACGCTAAATCTATCTTTATATCTATTGAAACACAATAGAATATGATACTTTTATGATGTGGATTATCAATGCAGGATGCGGTTAATGTATCGTGATAGGTCCCGTTTCTAATATTGCTAAATATTGGCCATAGAGCAACACTGGCCATGTGCGGACCGGAGAGGAGTAGTCCATAGCGTCTTTTCCCGAGACAGAACTGTCTGACATTTTTTGCGGGGGAAAATCTGCGCACACAAAAACAATCGCCTGACACTATGAAACTCACTTTCAAACAATAATTTCACACACATAGATACATTATACCACTATCGCACGGTGACAGTGACAACTCGGATAAAGACTCAAATCAGTCGCACGACTGATTTGCATATTGTATGAGGGCGAGCGTTCTGTGTTAGTAAACAAATCAGAAACAACATCGCCGTTATTACTATAATTTTTAAGTGAATATCGATATGAAAGGTAACGCCATTTTTTGTAAATTTGACGTGGCAAATCTCTTTTTGTGCCTAATAAAAAACTGAACAATTCGCCATTTTGGTAGGGCGTACATTCAGCCGCGTAACTATTTAGTCTAGTGAGCAGTGCGGCTTTTGATAGTTTAATTGAATACACAGGACCGCGTGGATTTATACTTTGACAGAGGCGAAAGCCTGCGATGGGTACTCCCCTCTGGTCTGCTAGTGACCCGTGTTGCTCTATGGTATTGGCTGATATAAATAACAAGAAAATTCTGATGAATTTACCAAAGTAGGGCACATCATTACTTCAAGCTTATTAACTAACTAGTATCCCGTACGCATAAAACGGAAGACTTAATTATGAATTCACGTGTTTATTTCTTGTATTAGATTCTAGCAATTAGAATAGTTTCAAAGTAATAAAGGTTACGAATATAGATGATAATAATATGCAATATGACGACGTGACGTTAAGTCAATTTTTTTAATTAAGTGCTAAGAGTACACTATACATCCGATTATAATTTCAAGTTGGCTATTTAATTTTTTTTAAATATATAAAATGTATGAAATATAATAAAAGTTCTATTCACTTTTTTAAATTGTTTAATACGAAAGACTGCTAATGTTTTCTGTTTAAGAATGTAAATGTAACAACGTACTCGTATATTTCAAATCTAATTTGTCTTACCTATGTGTAATTTGTCATATGTGTAAGTCAAATCATGCTTAAAAACAATATTAAACTCATATACATACAATGAGAATCAGATAAAACGTGTGTAAGTGCCATTACCAAGCGTATATATATATATATATATATATATATATATATTTATTTATATATATATATTTATTTATATATATATATATATATATATTTATATATATATATATATATATATATATATATATATATATATATATATAGACAATATAACATCACTCGATTTAACGACAAACTCCCTAAAGCGTCGAAATTACTCGGGTTTGGTTGGATTAGTTTGTCTTCCATGCAATGATACACTCTATATAGCATTACACCCACTCTCAATAACGACTACAATTAAATAATAAAAAGTACTCTTCTACTGTCGGCATCATACATACCAAACTCTCTAAGAAATCCGTTATTTTGTTTACAAATTGGGATTGCTTGCACGTGTACTGTTGTTAGTAGGAGTCATGGATTATCTATAAGTTATCATATTCTTAGTTGCCCACAGACTTTCAAACTGTAAACATAGCAAGTAAGTGAAAATCACTGTATATTGACGAAAAAGTGTTACTGATACGAGTACGCGCAATCACGGGGCAAATACAAAGAGGAGACGGCATATGCAACTGTGCACTGTGATTCTAACCAGTTCCTGACGTCATCAAAGTGGGCGTGGCTTTAGTTAGTATACTGTCAGTGTTTTTCCTGTGCGCCTATGTGTCAAAAATCGCAAATCGGTGTTTCTTCGTAGTATTAAAAAGAAAAGGATGAAGTATTGTATTATATCGTGTAAAAAAAACTACTCAGATAGACGTTCTGATGCTATGGATGAAATCATATCTCAATTATTAGTAATTTTATACCTAATTTCGATACCTCCAATGAACACTACGCCAACTCAATTTTTACTCATTTTCAGGTTTTAATGTAAAATTACTCATTAAAATAATATTGTTATACTCCCTAAATTTCTTAAAAAAATTTAAAGAAATAAAAAAGTTTTGAAAATTACATAACGCCAAGTAAATGTACTTTTGACAAACACGCGACACACACCTCGACTACTCGTTTTAGCGGCCTGTATTCGGGATGCGCGGGCGCTAACCGCGCTACTATACGCCGCCAACCAGGATTGGCGGGAAAACACGCGGCGGGAGCGCGTGGCGGTGTGTTTATGTTTACGCTAATGATAGTTGGCGGAGTGTCGCCGGTGTGCACGCATTTTTTAATATAAAAGTGGTAACCTGTGATAACACTGTATTAATCACATAGTGTATTAGTTAATAGTGTGTTGTATTTGAAGAAAATCTATAATGTCTGGAGTGCGTGGAAAATATTTGGTCGAGTTATGTAAACAAAAAGACGTCCAGCAGACGAACCATAACAAAATATGTGAGATAATACAAGATTGGAACCAGGAAAAAGGTAATAAGAGTTTATTAAGTTATAGTATTTATTATTGTTTGAAATTACGCGATTTATCTTTATAGTTATTGAGAATTGAAAATAATGAGTATGTGTGGTCGAGGTCCAAACGACATTACGCATTCTCAAGTTGACGGAATGTATTTCGGTAGCATTTCATTTCATACTGACTTAGCGGAGTATGCATATTATAATAATAATTACGTTTATTTGTTATTTTGTTATTAAACTAACGTAATGTTCAATCCAATGATAGGTATTTACGAATAAACATTATTCTAAGTAATATTTACCTCGACATTAGTTAATATTTAAAAAAAATCAACTAATAAATTTTCATTCCATTATACTAACGATATTTGGATAAAGATTAAATTTGTCGTTTTACCAATTTTTTAATAGAGTACAAAATTATATATCATACTAAAAAGCTACATAGTAAAGTATTTTTCAAATGTTGATACAAAAATCAAATACTATGTAATATTAATTATAAATATAATGCTTGAAATATATACATTCAACGCGTGATACAAAATTTACCAAAATATTTAATCAATTATTTAAATATATTTTACAGTGTCGTCTCCAGTACCTGATGATGTTGATACAATTATGACACCACAATTTATGTCTATGTTTGAGGATGTCTTTGAAGGACCTATTGAACAACACGAAGATGAACATTTTTCTTCAACACGACTCACTTCTCCAAGTCAGTCGACACAAAATCAGATTATAAAAGATGTAAATTTACACATCACAGAACCAGATTCACCATTTAATTATTCTGCTTGTTTAGCTACTGATGTACAAAAGCCTTCTCCAATGACTTCGACTCCACAGTCCGTAGAACATCTATTTTCTATAAGTGTTGAAAATTATGAATCGGACTACAATGAATGCACCCCAATGCCTTCACCCTATTGTGACTTTAGCAAATGTTCTCAAAGTGCTGATGAAACTTTGATACCGACCACGATTCCTGAAGATGATGTATCAGAGATATCAAGAAATATTCTCTGTTCCAATCCCCCATCGCTTATTATGCCTTTAGGTACACTTTGTAATGAAACACATTCAGTGTCGGATATAAATCCTTTATCCGTTTCTTCTACTGCTACATCAAATGATTGGACATCTTATGAGAGTAGTGGAACAAAAAATCCACTAAATAGACGCTCATCAAAGAAACGATCCGACAAAGGACGTAGGCGCATTAAGCATGTAGAAGACTGGGTGGCGACGAAAAGAAAACGTCTTTGTAATACGGGACAAGAATATATTTCTAGAAGAGGGAAAGTCAAAGAGGCAAGAAAAATGAAACCAATTTGTAGTTATAACTGTCGGCTACAGTGTCGTGAAAATTTCAGTGAGGAAATACGGCTAGAACTATTTACTAAATTCTGGGGTACGGGGAGCCATGTTAAGCAATGGCAACTTATTTCCAAATATGTCTTCCAAAAAAGAAAAAAACTTGCACTAATCTTGAAAGTAAAAGTATTCGACGATTATATACATTGCATTATCATCTTCCAATAAAGTCAAATGATAATGAAATGATATTAAAAAAAGTATGCAAAACCATGTTTTTAAATACTTTTAGCATAAGTAAAGATTTTGTTTATACTGCTTTACAAAAAAGTATCGAATGTCAAGATTTCCATGATTTCATTGATGGTAGAGGTCGGCATAAGAACCATAATGTGGTAATTACTAATGAAATTAAACAAAGCGTAATTGATCATGTTAATTCTTATACACCCGTTGAATCGTTCAAGTATAAAATATTTAGATCCCTCATTATCATTTTCAAAAATGTTCAAAATGTATCCAGAATGGTGTACAGAAAATAATTATAACAGTAGAGTGCAAACTTTAAGACAATACAAGGACATAGTCAATGCAAATTTAAAGATAGGCTTTCATGTTCCGAAAAAGGATCAGTGTGACCTCTGCCATCAATTTAAGAACATATCTGAAGTTACTGATGAGCAGAGCGAAAAATATATAATACATCAAAAAGAAAAGGAGTATTCTCGAAAGCTTAAACTAGAAAATAAATTACTAGCAACTAATGATAATAAAAAAGCATGCATTGTATTTGATTTTCAGAAAGTACTGAACGCACCACATGGAAATATTAGTATTTATTATTACAGACGAAAGCTAAATGTATATAATTTTACTGTATATGACATAGCGCATAAAGAAGCATTCTGTTACATGTGGGACGAACAAACCGCAAAGAGAGGGGCAAATGAAGTCTCTAATTGTCTTTATGATTTTTTGACTAAACTGGCTTCAAAGGGAGTTACTGAAGTATATCTATGGTCGGATAATTGCGGGGGGCAAAACCGCAACCGGATAGTTTAGTACATGTACCTGTTAGCGGCAATTAATCTAAAAATTAAAATTTATCATCGCTTTATGGAGAAGGGACATACACAAAACGAAGGCGATTCAGTGCATGCCTTGATCGAAAAATCAGCCAAAGGAAGAGAAATTTATTCGCCAGATGAATGGTACTCCTTAGTAAGATGGGCAAAAGTAAATGATAAGCCGTATAATGTCATAGAAGTAGAGCAAAATATGATCTTAAACTTTAAAAAGGGTATTTACAAAAAAAATTGGACAAAAAGTGTTTCTAATGATAAGGTTTCTTGGAATAAAGTCAAAGAGATCGGTGCTACTCCAGAAAATATAGGAATGCTACGTTATAAATACAGCTTAGGTGATGTAGAAAGCCAGCAGATACAATGCTTTAAACAATCGAGTACGAGACAGTCTCGCTCAGAACCTTTTCCAGACAAAGCATATACCGATTTATTGAAAATAAATAGGGCTAAATACAAAGATTTAGTTTTTTTCTGTGATAATAATATTGTACCTCAAAAATATCACAATTTTTATAAGAATTTACAAGTGGCAGATGTTGACCGCGAACTAGATGGCAGCGAAGACGAGGATTGATGTCATCTGAATCAGTGTCTTGCTTCCTTATTTACTAACTATTTCAGTTTTTTTACATAGAATAATTGTTTTGTAAGTTCATAGTTATGGAGTGAAACATACTGATTGATCTCATAAATTAATACTTTAAGTAATTTAAGCGATTATTTTAATTGAAAATGTTTAAGTCACGTGTATACTATTTCATATAAAAATTTTAAGTTAATTTTTTTTTTTGACTGTAACTGAGATTGTTCTGATTCTTTAGTATTAATTAAAAAGTTAGTTTTTGTTACAAAAATTGTGCTGATTGATCTCTATATTATTAAATAATTATGTTTATACAGTGATTAGTATATAAGTCTAAAATTTTATATTTACTATTAAACTATAAAAACATTTTTTTTTTCATTTCCAATTTAAGTAATATAACCCACTACCAAAAAAGAGATTAATTATAAATAATTTTGATAATTCAGTATATATTAGTTATCAGTATAATATTATTTTGTCTAATTTTGTAAATTTTAATATAAAATATTGGAAAACCATACGATTTTATTCATATTTTGTGTCAAACAAAACGCTAACTGTTAAGACTGATCATATTATTCTACGCTATGTATGTGTTAGCGGCATGTAACACGGTAGTTGATTTTATTACTTTCCCGATTACAAAACGCTAACTTTTAAAATATAGAAATAAGAGAACATTTTATCAAGATATGTTAGTTGAAGCAGTAAAATAATTCTATTATTGAATCTACTTTAAAATGAATACGTAATTATATTCTAGTATGGGTTTAATTAATATTTTTCAGTTCTCTCATATTCCGAGATATGCTCCGCTAACTGTGAGTTGGCGGAGTGTAACGGAATATCAAATGATATTTTTCCGTCTTAAACTCCGTTAACTAGAGCAAATTTTAAAACTTTATAAAATAATTAAAATCCATTTATGCAGTTAAAAGTAACAGTAAATTATATATTCACCCTGAAAATATCATTAATATAGGTGTGATAATAAAAAAAATATCAACGTTTTTTCTTTCAGAGCTTCTCCTGTAAACCTACAAAATCCTAGTTGGCGTAGTGTAAATTGGAGGTATCGATTTATTAAAATAGTTTTAGGAAAATCTCTGCATCGGCTTTCAAATAGTACTAAATATATTCGACAGTAGATGGCGGCACTTTGTGTCGTGGGAACTAAAAATATAAAGGTACGTAAAGGTCAGTATTGGTAAAATAATCATACGAAGGTGCTGAAATTTGTTTTTCATTCGGTTCTAAAGAATTTTCAATCGCCAAAATATTATTTTTATAGTTTTTATAATCATTTTGTGAACAGGCTGCCATCTATCGTCAAGGTAGCTAAACTACATTGCAACATCGATATGGAACTATGCGAGTAGTTTTACTATTTATCGGTAGATGGAAAATAGTAAGGTGGGTGGGGCTTAACACCCCTACACCCCACAAATTGCCACATGTTGTTACATAGTAAAATCTAATTACATCACCTCCTCTTTGTATTTGCTCCGTGTGCGCAATAAAGGCGGGAGAGAAGATAAGTGATGTTGGTAGACGCTTTGGATTTAGTCGCTCTACCGTGTCTACAGTATGGAAAAATAAAGAAAAAATTCTACAAGCAGAGGAGGATGGAAAATCTTCCAAAAAATTAAAGAAACTTAAATACGAAGATTTGGATCAATAGTATCATGGTTTTACTGACAGCGCCAGAATAATTAATATGCCTATCTCGTGGCCGATGATGACGATGGCGGAGAAATTTGCTGAAGAACTTGGCTTAACTTCTTTCAAACCATCAGAAGGATGGCTCGGAAAATTCAAACAACGTCATCATATCAACTATGGTAAAATTAGTGAAGAAGCACGAAGTGTTGATACAAATGTTACTCGCGATTGGATTAATAGATTGTGGTCAAAATTGACAGAAAAATACGCCCCAACTGACATTTTTAATGCCGATAAAGCAGGAATTTTCTATAAGTTGACCCCAGATAAAAGTCTGAAATTTAAAGGGGAAAAGTGTGTGGGAGGAAAGCTCTCCGAGGAGCATATTACCGTGCCTGTGGCTGCTAATATTGATAGCACAGGAAAAAAAGCTGATGTTAATAGGCAAATCGAAAAATCCGCGGTGTTTTAAGAACATTGAAAAATTGCCAGTGACGTAAACAGCTAATAAATCAGCTTGGATGACCAGTTAACTTTATGAAGAAGAATTTCGAAAGTGTGATGCAGAATTAAAGGGACGAAAAATTTCACTTCTTGTTGACAACTGTCCTGCCTACCCTCTTATATCAAACCTTCAAAACATAGAGTTGGCATTTATTTCTCCAAATACGACTAGTGTCTTGCAGCCAATGAATCAAAGCGTGATTAAAAGCCTCAAGGGTCACTACAGCCTTCTGTTATTAAATTGTGTAAATTATTGATGGAGCTAGTCGAATCTGATGGTAAAACTTCTATAAAAATGCTGCATGCAGTAAATTTTTTATCTAAAGCCTGGGAAAAAGTGACACCCATAACTATACAGCACTCTATTCGACATGCTGGACTTTGTACAAATTATGTGATGAGGTCGAAACGGAACCGAGCTTGAAAGCGACGACGACCTTCCATTAACTGAGTGGATTCAACAATTCAACATGGTATAAAAAATACAGAAAATCTTCAAACCTACATTGAATAAGAATAAGATTGACGTCAGGCGAAAACAACAGATTATACATAATAGCTTTCAAATAACAATTGTTTATGTAATTTTTCTTCGTTCGATTTAACGACAACTCTTTATAACATCAAAATATGCACAATCCCCTGAGTATTGTTATATGTTATAGATTTTACACACACACACACACACACACACATACATACACACACACACACACACACACATATATATATATATATATATATATATATATATATATATATATACAGTGCAATACTACTTGCAATGCTACTTAATATATATATTTATTAAGTAGTATTGAAAGAAACAAGTAAATTAATTAATAAATTAATTATTATTTAACTAATACTCCAACAAATAAAAAAGAATGCTTTTCTACTTATTCCTGATGACCAACCATTTTCTACGGTCATCGCTTGAAAAAATATGCTTTTATAAAACAGATAAATCTCGCGACAAGCTTTTATATCATATAAATTGTGTAATGTATTAAATTGATGGGTTTTGTTTAATTTAAAGTTTATTTTATTTTGTATACGCCTAATAAATCTACTATGATGCCAAATTTCAACTTTGTAAGTCACCTAGAAGTGGTCTACGTTTGTGATGTGTAAGTGATTCAATAAATCAGTAAGTGATAAAATTGCACTTTTCAGAGATTCAGGAACTATAATAGGTTTTCAAGGGTCTATAATAATTTTGATTTATGGGGGTCGAAAAGCTCTTAATAGTTCGTGTAAATATGAGCACTGATATTATGGTAAATTATGGTAATGATATGAAAATTATGGTAAATTATTCATGTATAAATTAATTGTTATTATTTTTTTATAGGAGAGAGATTATAGCAAGCGAGAATACGGCTCACCTGATAGTAAGTGACTACCGCCACCCATGAACAACTGCAACGCCAAGGGAATTGTTTCAGTTGTTGTGCAGGTGTTTCTGAAAGCGAGAAGAAAATCGGTACTTGAAGTCCTTTAGAATGGCATTCAGATCTAGACTAGAGAATCCCTTTTAACTTTATGTTTATGGTGGACTTACTTTTACTTTTCATTGATCTATTTTTTGTTTAATTCCTTATCAAAATTGCAAATTAATATGTAATATTAATTATGATATAACTTAATAAAACCACAATTATCGTTTAATAAAAATTTTTTTGCAGATTGTAGCAACTGATTAAGGCGTATATAAGGGTTTCACTTCCACATTTCCTATATTATTTTTTAATCTTATATTTTTCTCAACCACAAATGTCCAAGAAAAAAATAATAAAGAAAATAATTTTTGCTATTAACTAATTTTGCTACCAAAAATTATTTTAACATATATATTAACAATCATAGTTAATCACAGACTATATTTTTACAGTAGTGATGCAACTCGAACTCTGTTTTCACTCGAAGCCATCGAGTGAATTTGTCTAACTCGGTACTCGAACGAAAATAAATTTTACTCGAGTCCGCTTGCACTCGAGTTACCGAGTCAACTCGACGCACCGTGTAGATTCGGAGAGCACTAGATAGATGTCAGTTCACTAATCCACTAATTCTATCATCTAATCAACTAATTCGCATAGTATAAGGCGCCGCGGGTAACGTCACTGGTTACATCGAAATTCAAACTTGCATCTTGACATGTTGTAAACAAGTATGAACTTAGTTTGATTTATAATATCGTGATTGTGCTGTCATTGTTTTTTATTTTTTGTTACTTCGTATAAGTAGTGCATAACATAAAAGATGATTTAAACATACTTGTTTGTTTAAAGTATCAGTGATAACAGTAAAGTTAAAAGTAAAGTTGCAGCCTATTTACGTCCCACTGCTGGGCACAGGCCTCCTCTCATTTCTGAGAGGGTTTTAGGGCAAGAAAATGTCCGCCGCGCTGCCTCAATGCGTGTTGGTGAACTTCACATGTCTTCAAAATATTTTTTTTCTTAATTCTCAGACATGCAGGTTTCCTCACGATGTTTTCCTTCACCGCTGAGCACGTAGTAAATCAGTACTTAAAATTGCAATTAACAATTTCATTGGTGCCGGCGGGGATCTAACCCGGGTTGCTCGAGTACTGTGAAGCTTACAGCGAGCGCTAACTATCTGAGCTACCACGGCTTCAGTCAGTGATAACAATGACGCAACAAAACAAAAATCGTCAGTGTGGCATTATTTAAAAAAATCGAGATGGAAGCGATTTGTACTTTGTAATATGTGCAAAAAGCAGTTTATAGATTTTAAAATACTACAGATATGAAAGAGAAGCATGGAAATACTACAAATATATAAATATTTGTTTTTTATTTCACATTGCCACATTTTACATTTTGAATAAAGATACCTATTTAAAAATGCTTTAACTAAAGTAATCGCTACTCTCAGTTCGAGTGATAAACTTCAATCGACTGACTATTTTAAAATATTTTTTATTATTTTTTTATTATTTACAATAAACTGACTATTTATAGTCCCTGCGACTATAAATAGTCAGTTCTAACAGCTCAAAAACTCAAGTACAACTAGAGTTACATGATAAATTATTATTAACTCGCGTTATTCCAGTCACAAAATTCTACTCGAGTCGCATCTTTATTTTACGGTCAATGTTTTGTCTAGAATTTAGTGATTAACTCGACTTATTAAATTTGAACAACTTATTAATATATTATGTAATATCAATAAACTGATTAAGTATCATTGTCATAAAGTTAAAGTGATATTATTTTATGAAGATCTATACGCAAACCAAAAATATATAACTACGTATTAAGTTTAGTAATAACAATTATGTTGGATGGAAGAACAAAATATAAAAATAATTTGTAACAAACTGACACAGCTTCGTTCAGCCAATTCGAGTTGCGTAAAACGAGTTCTATTCTACTCAAGTTAACTCCCGTCGAGTTTCTTCCGAATTAGCACATCTCTACTACATTTTTTTAAATATTACATTAGCAGAACCAATAACCTGAACACAAATATCAAAACAATATTTTTTTTCTGATTTCTTGATTACGTTTAGATTTTCATAAAATTTGGAGGTCATTTACTATATTAAATTGGTATCTTTTTTTGTGTATAACACATTAACATTCATTAAAATTTCTAGTGGGCCCAAAGACGACTGTCTCCTTTAATACAATACTCTTTATTATATACCAACGAAATATGCAAAAATAAAAAAATGTGGGAAAACTACGAGCTACAAAGCTATTTCTTCCAGAAAAACCAAAAACAAATCAAATAAAGGGAGGAGAAGATAGGCAGGGTGTACTTTATTAACAAAGAATAACAACGTATGCACTAAAAAGAAATACTTTAGGCGATAGGCAGGTATGTAGCGCAATTCAGATACATTTGGTTCCTTTTATGACAGCGGCAACACATTTTGTCAAAAGAATCTCATAATTCATTAATTCATTACAAGTCCACTGCTGAACACAGGCCTCCGCCATAGATCACCTTATTCACAGCAGTGGCTACGCTTAGCAGGCAGATTGGAAACCGCAGTATTTTATTATTTTGAGTTGTTATTAGAAAGATGCCAAGGTCCATCTCCTGCTTCCGTATTTCGCCTTTTACGACACCCACGGGTAAATATGGGAAGGAAGATTGAGAATGAAGATTATGAGAAGGAAATTTATGCTACTACATGAACCTCTTACAGTTAATAACATACTTATACAACAAAAATGTAACGAAAAATATTTATGATTAAGAATTGACAATAAGTTGACTTGGAACAATCAAATTGAACACATAAGAAGCAAACTAATGTCTGTCTCTGGTTCTATTAGAAATTTAGTAGGATGCATTCCGCGAAACTTACGTTACACCATTTACAACACTCATGCCACACCTTATGTACCCTATAGAACTTTGTGGAAGTGCTATCAAAACTAGATTAGCTAACCTACAAGTCGCTCAATAGAGCTTAATAGGTCCTTCAGAGGTGCAGCATTTGGAATTGAAAAGAAACTGAGCTAAATAGGAAATTTTGAATTGAAAGGGAAGATCTGTGGGAATTCTGATTAATTGATGGTGTGAATTTTGGAAAAAAAAACTAACTGAACACTATTTTAAGACGCTACTGTACACAATGTTATATGTTTTTCCATTCCGGGAAAGAATGTGGAGATTCTGGGCATTTGACACACGCGAAAATGCTACATACAGCTAACCATGAGAGAAGCACGGTTTTTCTAAGCTGACCCCCGCTACCTGTAACGTTTGCCCTTGCGCTTTATTAATTGTCATTGAAAACTGAGCTTAATAGGGAACTGCAACCTTTTGAATTGAAAAGGAAGATCGGTGGGAATTATAGGGATCCGTGGTATAATAACATTTTCACCTTTTCCTACGCCTGTCAAAATTGTAGCACCGATTATGTTCCGTCCAAGATGTGTCCAGCCTTGTCCCGTTACATAACCGAGGAGCATCTAAATTTTG